TTGAATGAATGACTGAATGATTTAATCAATGACTAAAACAATGTCCAGTAAAATAAAATATATTTTATTTTTTGTTTTTTTTTGTTTTTGTTTGATTACACAACTTTCATCACAAACACACACACACACACCATATGGTGTTATACTTTATATGTATATATATATATAGTGAGATAGACAGCCATATCCAACCCAACCAACTCAAGTGACAGTAGTTTTCAAGTTAGGAGAGAGAGAGAGAGTAGGTCTGGCCTATGGTCTCTCTCTCTCTCTCTCTCTCTCTCTCTCTCTCTCTCTCTCTCTCTTCAACAAATCAATCTATAGATTTTTGTAGTATAACTAACTGTTTACTGGGAGAGAGAGAGAGAGAGAGAGAGAGAGAGAGAGAGAGAGAGAGAGAAAGAGAGAGAGAGTGAAAAAACAGTACTAGTTTTGGGCACAAAAACAACATATATATATAACAAACATATACAGACAGAGAGAGAGAGAGAGAGAGAGAGAGAGAGAGAAGAGATATATATATTAAATAAGTATATCTTGAAGTGTTAAGAGAGAGAGAGAGAGAGAGAGAGAGAGAGAGAGAGAGAGAGAGAGCCACTGTTGTTTATTGCCATTTCAAATATTAAGTGAGAGAATGAGAGAGACTACTCTAACTATGCTTATTTCTTTAATAATACAAAAAAAGACAGGGTCTCCAAAAAGTGTACCATAAATTGATGTATCTCTCTCTCTCTCTCTCTCTCTCTCTCTCTCTCTCTCTCTCTCTCTCTCTCTCTCTCTCTCTCTACATCTCTTAACTTAAGGGCTCATATATGTAGTGATTGACGGCTTACTGAAAAATTGTTTGAATTGTTGTCTAAATTACACTGCTATTCATTCATTGAATTGAATTGTTGAACAAAGTTAAGGAAATGACGGTATGGTATGTCTCTCTCTCTCTKTCTCTCTCTCTCTCTCTCTCTYTCTGTGTGTGTGTGTGAGAGAGAGAGWGAGWGAGAGAGAGAGAGAGAGAGAGAGAGAGAGAGAGAGAGAGAAGTAAGGTTAGGCCAGCATTTTTTGTCTCATTTTTTTGCTTTTTGTTTGTTTTTTTTTTTTTTTGGTGTATGTGTTATATGATTCATACCATAATAGGATATATTGTATAGTATTATATATTTATATATTTATTATATATATATATATATATATGAAAAAAACAAAGTTAAATGCAATGATAGCTGCACTGGGGATTCTCATCCCAAATGTATAGGGGATTGACGTTTTTGTTGTGTTGTATGTATGTGTGTGTGTTTGTTTGTGTGTGTGTTTGGATATCAATTGTCAATATATATTGATATATGAATGATATTGAGATATATCTGTATACACACTGTATATATATATATATATAAGAGATGGATGTGCTCTGGATATGGGAGAGCCATCACTAAGAAAGAGAGAGTTAGAGAGAGAGAGAGAGATCAACGATTGCTTTATCGCTTTCAACAATCATTACTTATATAAACCCTATATATATATATACAGTATATATATATAGCAAAACAATAACACCCTAATAAACTAACTGTCCACTAGTTTTTTAATATATATATAATATATATATATATATATATTTGTGTTGTTGTTATTGGATTTTTACGTCAACTTTCAAAAAAAAAATTATATTATTATCTATTAGTATAAAAACTCTTTAAATTTTTTTTATCAATTTATATTTGTTTTAAATTTTTTTTATATATAATATGTATTTTATTTTTGTTATCTTTTWTTMTTTTATTTTTTATTTAGTTTTTTTTAGTTTTTTTGTTGATTWTATTAAGTCATATGAAGTGTGTCTAAGTGTGTGTGTGTATTTTTTATGCTAAAAATAAAATTTTATTTATTTTATTTTTACATTTAAGRTTATTTAAAATTGTATTATACATTGTATTTATACAAAATAGTTTTATTTATATAAAATGCAATAGTTTTTTTTGTTTGTTTATTAATGAAAATAAAGTTAACTATTACTTACTGTATATATTATATATATTGATGATAAAAAAACTMATTTAACTTTTTTGTTTGTAATGCAAATATATTAATATAAATAAAAAATTAATTTTGTGTTGAATTTAATTAATTTTATTTTTTTTCACTATTTTGTTTGTTTGTATGTTTTGTTTATTTATTTATTTAATTATTTATTTTTAATATAAATTTTATTTTTATTGAAWTWTATTTTKTTTTAGTCTAAATATATATTTTTAGACAAAATATTCTTAATATATATATATATATATATTTCCCATAGGATATGGTGTATGTATTATATAATATATATATATATATATATATATACAGTATATAAACTTAAATAAAATAATTGATATAAAATTTTTATGCATAACAATAATAATACTATAATAATAATAATAAACAAAATAAAAATAATAATAAAGTTTATACTAAAACTATTTTCACAAAAAAATTTTTTTTTGTTAAATTCTTTAAGGAATTTCTTATATAATAATAATAATAATAATAATATAAAAATATTAGATTGAAAATTGACGTCAATTTTTGTTATCATCTTTTAAGAGTATTATTATTATTATTAAACGCTTTTTTCATTTTATTTTTTGGTTGTTGTCTAAAATTCATAGCTTTTTAGTCTATTTTATTGTTAAAATAAATATATATATATATATAAAATCTGTTAGCAAAGTGAGAGCTAAATCAAATCAAATAACAAAAAAAATATTGTATAAAATATATAGATATTTACTTACTCTCTCTCTCTCTCTCTCTCTCTCTAATATAATAAGATTTTTTTCAATTTTAGATTTTTTTTGTCTATATTTACTCTCTCATTATATAAATTATATTTTATATATATATATATATATATATCTTATATTTAGACATTATTTTTTAGCTTTAATAACAAACAAAAAAACTATACATCAGTTATTTATTATATATATATWTWTWTATATATATTATCTAAAGTAAAAAARTATTATTTTGTATTCAATTGTTTTGATTTTTTTTATACAAATTCATTGTATAATAATAATAATAATACTACTTTTGTGTCACTCATATAAAAATCTATTAAAAATAGTTGGCTTTATATTTATATATATATATATCACTGATATTTAATTTTATTATCTGATTTACTATATATATATCTACCATTATATATATATATATATAATATATATATGCCAACCCTAGGGAGGTATGCATTTTAGACAACAAAAAAACTGACTGTTCAATAATTTTATTATTAGATWTAAATTTATATATATATCAATATATACATTGACATTACTAAAAATAAATTTAATTAAATTACAAACACACAGGGGTGTCAGTTAAATGCCTAATAAAATTAAATATATATATATATATAGTGTATATATTTAAAAACAAATTGAATAAATAGTTTAGTCAATTACTAACAAATAGATAAAAAAATTAAGTCTTAAAATAATATACTACTGTATTATAAGTTATATACAGAAATACATATAAAATAATTTTATTTTATTTTATTTTATATGAAATTATAATAATAAAATAAAAAACTAAAAATATTTAGTTATTTTCTTAAAAATAACTATTATTATATTATTTAATTTAATATGTTGTGTAGTATTTATTAATAAATAATTATTAATTTATTATATAAATATATACTATATATACATACAGCATATATTAGTTTTTTAATTTATTTATAATGTTTTTTATTATTATAATAATAATTATATTACAATATATTAGTAGATTATACTTAAATAACACCACCTAAAAAAATCACTGTTAAATAATTATTGTTAATTATAATTGTGGTAATAAAACAATATAATAAACTTTTTGTAAACTATATAAATTATTATCATTATTATTATTATTATTATTATTATTTATTAGTAATACTGTACCATAACTTATGATTCATAATAATAATTATAAGACAATTAGTGCATAAAATACAGTGTATTATAACAAAATGTGTATTATATTTATATAATATAATATTTACTGCAAAATACTGTATATATACTGTATAAATATACAAAAAAAATTATATATAATTTTTTTATCATTTCAATTGCTAAGGTTATCAGCGATTATTATTATTACTTTAGTTTATGATTATTAATATTATGATTAATATTATTATTATTATTATTACTAATTAAAGATAAAAAACACACAATAAGTTTTATCTATATATAKATATATATATATATATTAACACTTAAATAAATAAATAATAAAAAGTTTCCATTTTGTAACTTTTTATATAAAAAAAATTACCTTAATATTACAGTAAAATTAATTAAGTTACCTGGGAACATTACAGGGTATATATATTTACACAATATATATATATATTAATAATCTATATATATATATATRTATATATATATATATATATATATATATATATATATATATATATATATATATATATATATATATTAATAATCTATACTATAATATCATAGTCTAGTCTACTCAAAGGTATAACATTAAACTATTGATAATGAAATATATATATAAAAATATAATATATATAAAAAACACATACAAGTAAATCAACATATGTTTTACGATATATATATATTTGTTGAATATATTGTTGTAAAAAATAAAAAAATAAAATAATTATTATTATTACAGTATTTAAGTAATGATTTTCAATTTGTTAAGACATAATATACTAGTATATGATATTATATGATAGCTATTTGTACTGTTCAGTAACTATAAGTAATAATAATTTTATAATCAATTAATTGTAGTTAAAATCAATTTTATAATTGATATTAATATCTAAATCAAAATAGTGTATTAAATAAAACCACATAAAAAACTTTTTTAATTAAATAATTGTATTTATTGTTTGTTTAATAATTTATTTTTTTTTTGATAGTTTTTATAGTTTAGTTATGCACTAGATTTGAGTTAATATAAAAAAATAAAATTATATTAAAAATTAAAATTTATAAAAAACAATGCCTACAATAGACTTGGATCGGGTAGTTATGCCCATCACTGGTCCCGATCGTGAGGACATCAAATGTGTTATATGTCACGGACTGCTACGCAGGCCAGTAGTCACACCGTGTTGTCGCCAACTATGCTGTTCTCAATGTATTTACCGATGGCTAGCCTATCAGCCCATATGTCCGTTTGATCGCCAATCCCTTACCGCTGCCGACCAACTCCTGCCAGTTCCCCGTGTATTGGACCAAATGCTGGCCAACATACAGGTTAGATGCGAATCGCACGGACGCGGCTGTCCGGCCATCGTTCACGTCGCCGATATAGCCCATCATCTGATCTACGAGTGCCAGTATACCGACCATTGTCTACAGTGCGGCTACGATCGTACACTACTGGCGGCGGCCACCAGTGGTGGCCAACAATCACCCGTTGATGGACACAATTGTGTGGATGTATTGCGTCAACGATGTATGGTATTGACCCACGATTTTGGCCAACTAGTCGATGATAATCGTGATCTACGGGAGGCTAACCTCAGGCACCGGGAGGCTAACCACAGGCTACAGGAGTCTAACCATAGGCTGCAGGAGGACAACCAGCGACTGATGGAAACTGTTATCAGTTTACGACTGTTTTTAGCTCAACAACAACACCGAGAAAGTCAACAACAAACATATGTCGTCGACATCGATGATAATGATAGTCAAAATGTAAGCAAAATTTTTTTAATATAATTTTTGATTTTTTTTATTATTATTAAAGTTATATTGATATATATATATATATATATATATATATATATATATTAAGTGATTGTTTGTCTGTCTATCAGTCTATCTATCAGTCTATCTGTCTGTCTGTCTGTCTGTCTGTCTGTTTGTCTGTTTGTCTGTCTGTCTGTCTGTCTGTCTGTCTGTCTGTCTGTTTGTCTGTCTGTCTGTCTATATGTTAGTCCCTGTTATTGTTGTTGTTGTCAAAGCAATAGTTAACTTTTCATATGATTTCATAATAATAATAATAATTATTATTATCATTATTATTGATGAATCACTTATCGTTTAAAATTAATTGCTTACAAGTTTTTTTTTAATTATTATTATATTTATTTTTGATAAAATAAAATCATTAAAAAAAAAATTATGATTTTTTTTATTTGTCTGTGTTTTTTTTATTAGTTGGTATCCATAAACTCAGATACCAGTGACCATAGCCTAACAACCAGCAGTACCAGCGTCAGCACCGATAGGGATTCAATAGTAACGGTTATTGTACACCAGACACCACCATTGTTGAGCCATTATCATCGTCAGCATAACCATCATCATCATCATCATCATCGTCGTCCATCATCATTGGCATTAATACCATTTGCTATTGAATATAATACAGGAGCTGCTGCTGCTGCTGCTGCTACTAGTGCTGACAGGGAGTATGCCACCAATGATCTACCTTTCCCTGATTATGCTGATAATGATGATCCTATACAGCCGCCATTGGCAGCACCGGTAGCTGACGATAGACATATCAGAGCTGCTGCTGTGGTCAGATCAGTATCAGATTATGTTGGCCGCAGCCACGGTAATAGGGTCAGTCACCATACAGATAGCCAGATAATTGACGATAGGGTAGGCCTACTGAGTGATGTGGTCGACGACGATGACAATAACAATGATGTTGCGGACATACATGTTGGCGGCGATGCCACTGCCGGCGGTAGTTTGGCCAACAATAGTCTAATAGTGGACATTATCGACAGCGGTAACGGTAGTCTACCAACACCAMCTCCACCACTCATAATGACTACAACCTATGAGATACCGGAGCTGAATAGGTCACAGATTATTACAAYAGTAGTACTACTATTAGTAGTAGTAGTAGTAGTAGTAGTAGTCGAGAAAACTTGGAGTTCATATTTGACGGCTCAGTCAGACATCACTACCGGTGCGAAGGTATAATCAGTAGCGACTCAGACGATGACATACTGGACATTGATTTGAAACGCCGTTACAACAAACGTAAGCGCCGGCTATGGATATGGAAGATCCGATGGCCGCCAATCAGGTTCGGTCTCCGCCGATCCCAGTCCTATGATTTTGGCGGCTGTTCACAGGCATAGTATAATTATTTGTTTGTTTAATTACCGTAAGTATATATATATTAGTGGACAGGTATATGTTGTTGTATTGTTTTTCAATGGGCTAACGGTTCTCATCAATGTTTCAGTTGTTAATATTGTTGTAATTATAATCCTATATATATTTATAATATTCAATGTTTTATTATGTATTAATTATTACTATATATATATATATATATATATATATATATATATATATTGAATATTTATTTAATTTATAAATTTTAATTTAAATACTAAATTATTAATATAAATATATATATATATTTATATATTATAATTTTATGTATAATTTTGTTTTTCAATTGTAAATTGAATATAATAATATTGAATTTCAATATATATAGATATATATATATATATATATATATATATATATACAGTATTATATTTTTATAATATTTTTATTTGATTTTGTATTTATTTGTATATAAGTTTTATTATTATTATTACTGTACTAAATATGTATTAAAATAAATAATAATTATTATTTGTTAATGAAATTTAATGTTAATTAMATATGACTTTGATTTTTGTTTTTTATTTAATTATTATTTCATTGCTATCKTATGGTTAGGTCTAATAAAACAATAAAAATAAAACACAACTATTACTTACTTTAAATGATAAGAAAAATAAATAATATAAAAAACTGATTATAATATATATATTATAATTGTAATAAACATAATATTTTATATAATATATGATAGTATTATATATATAYTGTATATATATATATGATTAAAAATTTCAAGCACATCATTTTTTTTAATAATATAGATATAAATTTAATTTAATTAATTTTGATAATAAATTAACAATAATATATACAGTATATATAGTGATGATTATTACCATAGAGTAGACATCAATTATAAGATAATTAATTATTATGCTTATAATAAATCAGTTAATTAATATCATATTTTTTTATAATTAATTATATATATATATATATTGTATATAAATTATTATTATTATTATTATTATATATAATGTATATAAATTTGATAAAATTATATAAAATTATACAGTATCATTTATATATATCTACCGTATATATATATATATAATGTATAAAATAACATATTGCAATAGTTATGATATTATATTTAATAATTAAATATAAATAAAATAATTAGATCCTGTTTTATATAATTATATAATAATAATAATAATAATAATAAACAGTAAGTTAAATATTATAGATTTGATTTTGTAAATAACTTGATAATAATAATACTAATAATAATGATTAAAATTACTACTATTTTTTGAATAATATACTAATAAAAATAAATTAAAAAATTTAACACAAAAAAAAACACYAGTAATTATAAACAAAACTATAATCTACTAAAAACTACTGTTACTTTCTATCATATATTTTGATAGTACAGTACATAATAACAAAACATCATATCATAAATGTTGCAATAAATGTCAATCATTTTGTTATTTGCTATTAAATATATTTATATATTCAGTACTACATTATTGTCAATCCTTATCATATGCCGATTCAGATCCCTTTCCCTTTCCTCCCCCCACCCAATAGCCCCCTCCAAACAGTCCCTGTTATGGTCGGTCGGCGACTCAAATAATATTTGATTTGATTTCTATCCCCCACCTACCCACCCTCCCCTCCCTGATATTACCCTCAGGGGACAGTATAGCTCCCAGTGCTTATGGTGGTGATGGTAGTAGTAGTGGTGGTGATGATGGAGAAAGTGAGAGAGAGAAACTCCCGTTCCTTGTTTGTATCAATAGATCAATAGATAGATAGATAGACAGATATAGATAGGATAGGATAGGATAGAGACTGTTACTAATTGAAGGACCAGAAAAATATATAAAACAGTTAGTGATGTAGACATTAAAATAAAAACTATTGGGATCTCTATATATATATATTTTGTTAATAAATAACCCAAAAAATAGTAAGCAAACAGACATATGATGGCAAACATTGCTCTCTCTCTCTCTCTCTCTCTCTCTCTTACTCACCCACTCTCTACTCACTCACTCACCCACTCTCCCACTCAATCAGTAATCTTTCATCTCGTGTTTTGCCTATCACTCAAGCGTTTACTTTCTACTCTCTCTCTCTCTCTCTCTCTCTCTCTCTCTCTCTCTCTCTCTCTCTCACTCACTCGCTATCTCTCACTTAATATACTTTTATATACTTATATATATATATATATAAATAAATATAAGTGTAATAAAAATGCATTGAAAATGTGATCCGAGAGGGGATTTGCTTCGGGATGAGAGAGAGAGAGAGAGAGAGAGTAAGTCTCATCATCATTGATGGTCGTCGGCCTCTCATTGATGGCCACTCCAGTGACACATACATACAAACACACACACCGTATGATTAGATGATGTGCTGTTAAGAGAGAGAGAGAGAGAGAGAGAGAGAGAGACCTTATGGGATGAGTGTGTTGTGTGTGTGTGTCTAATATAAGAGGATAGAGATATATAATGTACTAAAGTAGTAGTAGTAGTCATAATAGTAATAGTGATTACAATCATCGCAAACTAATGGATACAACAAATCAAATAAAACTTATATACAGTGTATACTGTATATGTTGGAAAACATTAGACGAAAGAGAGAGAGAGAGAGAGAGAGAGAGAGAGAGAGAGAGAGAGAGAGAGAGAGAGAGAGAGAGAGAGAGAGCAGACAGACTGAGTCGTAAAAAATTAGGTTTTTTTTGTTGCATTTTTTTTTTGCTATCCATTCAAATGTTAAATTCAAAAAACAAATACATATACACACAGTTTGTGTGTGTGTTTTACTTACAGTAAATTTTTTATATATATAAAATGTTGTTTTATTTTGCTATGTTGTGTGTGTGTGTAATGTATGTCCAAAATATAAGGGTGCCATCACTAACTAACTAACAAAACAAAACAAAAATAAAATACAATACAATAAGTGTATTGTATGTTTAAATATTATATAAGCAAATAATAATTATTAGACACACATTTTATTTTACTAACAATTTTTATTAAAAAAAAAATATTGTAACAAATAATTTTGGTTTGTTTTTTTTAAAAATAAAACACATTTTAGATATATTTATTTTTTTGTTACTATAATTTACACTCTAAACAAAATTGATTTTTGTAAAATAAAAAAAAATATTAAACTTATTAAACAAAATATATAATATATATATTATATATGATATATACAGTATATATATATATATATATATATATATATATATATATCAAATACAATGTTGATTTTATTATATACTTAATAGTATGATATGATTAATTGGTAGCAATTATTACAGTAAAAGTTTTTCAAAAACAAATAATATTAATCCTAACAAAAATATTGTTACTAAATATATATATATAAAGTATATATATAACTTTATATATATATATATATTTAATATAAATCAAGTTTTTAACACTTTATTGCATAAATACAATAACATAATATATATATATACTGTATATACTATACAATATTGTTGATTATAATAATAATACTATTGTAATAATAAATTAGCCAAAAAATATTTTTGATTCAAACTTTCATAAGATAATATACAGTGTATATTATACACTGTATAATACTCTATTAAAATTAATACCCATTGGGTGCCCTCTCTCTCTCTCTCTCTCTCTCTCTCTCTCTCTCTCTCTCTCTCTCTCTCTCTCTCTCTCTCTCTCTCTCTCTCTCTCTCTCTCTCTCTCTCTCTCTCTCTCTCTCTCTCTCTCTCTCTCTCTCTCTCTCTCTCTCTCTCTCTCTATGTACGGTATGTGTCCAATATGTTGCACTTAGTTGATATAAACTGTATATAAATTATATTTACTGTATATATATAAATATATATATATAATTTATAGGAAGTTTCTGTTATATCATTATAATAATAATAATAATAATAATAATAATAATAATATAATAATAATATCAATGACTAAAATGCATAAAAATAAAATTCACTGAATATTCATGAAAATTGCATTTTATTCATGAAATCCAATTCATTTCCAAAAATACAATATTCAATACTCTCTCTCTCTCTCTCTCTCTCTCTCTCTCTCTCGCTCTCTCTAACAGTAAACATAATATACTGTATATATAACTTATATGATAATACTGTAACATTAGTTTCTACAATAGACTACTAGATTGTCAATAATTGTTATTTAATGTAATTTTTGTTTTTTTTTATAATAATAATAATCATTGAAACAATAAATAATTATTATTTTCAACACATTTTAAGCTAAAATTTATTTAGATTTTCATTTAAATAAATATTTGATTTTTTGTTTTATATGTTTAAAATTATGTGATTTTAGTATCAATTGATTATTTATTTTTATTATTATTATTTTTGATTACTATACAACTATAATATACTTTAATCTACTGTATAATAATATTCAAATTTTTAGGTATCAATTTTCATAGGAAGTGTCGGCTTGTCTTTTGCATAACAATGTTTGTGTGTGTGTGTGTGAGTGAGTGAGTGAGTGAGTGAGTGAGAGAGTGAGAGAGAGAGAGAGAGAGAGAGAGAGAGAGAGCTAAACCTTTCCTAAAACACAAAAGCATCAGTTGTTTTGAAAGAGAGAGAKATATATATATATATATATATATAGAGAGAGAGAGAGAGAGAGAGAGAGAGAGAGAGAGAGAGAGAGAGAGAGAGAGAGAGAGAGAAAGAGAGAGAAAGAGAGAGAAAGAGAGAGAAAGAGAGAGAAAGAGAGAGAAAGAGAGAGAAAGAGAGAGAAAGAGAGAGAAAGAGAGAGAAAGAGAGAGAAAGAGAGAGAGAAGAGAGAGAAAGAGAGAGAAAGAGAGAGAAAGAGAGAGAAAGAGAGAGAAAGAGAGAGAAAGAGAGAGAAAGAGAGAGAAAGAGAGAGAAAGAGAGAGAAAGAGAGAGAAAGAGAGAGAGAAAAAGAAAGAAAGAAAGAGAGAGAGAGGAAAAGTGCAATTTAGTAGTAGTAGTAAACTCTATAAAACATCATTTTGTATCTAAACAGTGCTTTTTATCACCAAATGATATCTCATTTTTAC